TATTTTAAGTCAAACATCTGTTCACTTTTCTCAACCATCCTGTACACATTCCAGTTTAGAACACGATTTCTGATGAAAATAGAGACTTTCCTTCATATAGCGTACATACACCCAGGAATTTGGAAAGTGCTAGAGAAAAAAATCGGGATCGCACAGCTCAGGGAACCTTGCAGTGAACTGTCGTACTACAGGTAATAAATATTCTGGCATTGCTGGTGAATCCATATGGATTCGGGATATCCGAGTCGTTGTACCATATATACACGCTTTCGTGTTACTAATAATATTTTCTCTATTGTCCTCCTCAAAACACCATGCAATCAGGGCATTGAACCTGAACGCAATCCTCAGGGGCAATCCCGACTATATATACAGGCTTTACTATATTTGGATGACACGCAATACGGAATCAGTTCCGCCGAATCATTCAAATTCGAGTCTGTGCATCAATTTCCTTTTCCCCCGAATAATATAGAAAGAGGTCGGAAAACCCTGTGACAAATGGGAGGAATAAAATGGGAATGGATGATTCATGAACAATTCGAATATGAAACCCTCATCCTCGAGAGTTCATAACCGGAGTTTGTTTTGAAAATCAGACGAAAGCATGTCTTATCTTCATTCCGCAGAATGAGGATCAAGGAAAATTTGTAAGGACATTTCCAACCAGATTTCAGGTTTGATATTTTGGGTTTCATTCACCTACAAGTTCAAAGGTGGTCTCATACGTAAAATGCCAGTAAATAATCCCAAGATGAGTTCTGTTGAAATAAAACACATAATTTTGACAAGATCTGCTTAAAGAATATATGCAATCGCTCTCTCTAAAAGGTTCTTTTCGCATGCTGTAGGCTTTACTACATTTACATCATTCCCTCCACACCACAAACTTTTTCTGGTTTTGTGAATTATTTCGTCGTAATTGCGAGGGGCTACACGTTTCCGCGCGGATCAGCTTATTATTGTTCCTTTTCTGCGAAGGAGCTTCAAAATTCAACAACTGAACTTTTCAAAACCTGCTTAAACACATGGATCAAAAGGCACTGCGAAGCTTGTACAAATTGGTGGGGATTACATTGAGAAGGTGTCTGCCTATATAGCCTCTATTGGAACTAAAGTGAACATGAGAAAAATGATTTGAAAAAATTTCTAGTGTTCAGATCATTTCAATTTCGTGCGGGGATTCTACTCCGCACGGAAACGTGTAACCCGTCGTACACCCGATATTTGAGTATCAATACAGTATCTTCTTGAGCCAAAGGTTTTCCTCAACGCTTCAGTCTTCTTTTTCCAAAATTTCCAAACCTCGCTGAAGACAAACAAGAAAACATTTCCGAGTTTTATCGTCGATTTGAGGCATGTATANAGCACAATTTATCTCGTGGCATTTTTTAAAAAGCTGCGAGATAAATGGCAAGATTAATAATGATATAATATAAATCATAGATTTATAAAAGATTTACACTCGGTGCACTGCGGATGCTCTACTACTAGTTTCTGTATCTTGAAGGATTCGAATACAAAGAAACTTAATTGATACTTCAAAATGTTGTCCGGATGAATGAGGTGTGTGTCAAAATGTGTCAGCAATTCAGAACAATATAATGAGGAACCTGTTTTTAAGAAAAATGTGCTCTGGTTATTTTAATGACAGCAAATGCCGTGTTTTCTCAATTTGGAAATTATTATGCCAGCTGAGGCAAAGCAGCTTGTTTGTGTGGATTTGCCGAGGAAAATTAAATTATCCTGTTCTACAGCATATGCCATGCTTTTATGGAAGGTCATTTCCCCACTTTCCACCCCAATAATTTATTCATGGGCTCATTATTCGAAAATCAAAGGCCTTTCTCATGATTCAACTTGGGAGAACATCCATTTTCGTCATTCTCTTCGCCTATGGAACTGTTACGCCACATCGAGTCTGATTAGTTTCAGCTATAATCAGGCAAAATTTCGTTTACTCAGCTCTCATTAGAGAAACAGTAGATGTCACTACTGGATAATCAATGAATTCTGTGATATTTCATGGAAATTCGTTCACTCCAAGCGAAGGACCTCAAAGCTGAGATAAAAACCCTGCAAAAACAGTTGGAACTACCATCTAGCAAAAATTTCGAGTCAAACTGCATTCAATTCAATAATATTTCCTATATGATGACTAATTTCATAACTTGCAATACCCTGTTCTAAAATAAATTAGCATTATTTGAATAATTAATGCTGTAAAACGCTACACATACTTCATCAGCAAGCACTTCCATGAAATGACTATTCATCGTACACATTAACAATTTTTTGAAATCATAAAATAATGCAAAATATACGGATTGAACTGTAAGATTTAATTCTTGAATTTGTTCTGCGCAATACAACTCATTATATTGGCAGTATCAGCAGCAGTAGGTTGCTTGGAATTTTTAGAAAATGTATTTTTCGATCATAAATGAATTTGATTTTGAAACCTTGTATTACAAGTTGAACTTCTTAGATGACGAAAAACGTTCCCTGTCATCAATAATTTCGGGATGGAATTTGATATCGTATTTAGATAACAATTCCTTTCGAATGCTCATATATATTCAATGCAGAACCACAAAGCTATAAAAGGAAAAAAACATTTTTATATTGACTCACTGAGTCAAAGAACTCACAATCAAGCCATTTTTAGGACACTAGTAGCAAAGAGAGTTAACAAAGATTGTTTCTAACTTTTTTTACAGGAAATAGTCTTACCTTAGCTGAGCACGTAAGCCAGAATAGCCCATTAGCGGCTGGACCTTTGTCACCGAAACTAAAATAAAAACTCTCCTCTTCTCTGGACCCGAAAAAAAAATTTATTTGAAAAAAAGAGAAATTTAGTTTCTAATCATTGGTTCATGCGGTGTCACGAACTGCGCGCTTCCAAGCGAAACTAAAATGCGTGCTTTGTGTTCTTCGTTGTTAAGCTTAAAAAAGACGCAGCGGTAAACAAGGCACTACTTTTGTAGCTGTCACTACTCTACTCTTTCTTTTTTTTTAGGCTTGTGCATAAACTGTGGAGATATTACGACTTGGATTTTTGTCAAACATTGGTGCAATTCGCTACTCGATCGAAACCCCCCGTGATTTGAATTATAGTGATTCATCAGACCTACTTGAAAATGTTCAAATCATGTTTGATGAAGATTAAAATTTGACAATCAGGAGTATCACGAGGAAAAAGTTTGGAGGAAATTTGTTTCTTGGAAATTAATTATACTTATTGCGAGGATACGTGTCAGTGGATCTCCAGAGATCAGATAACTCATATCTTCAAGATGCTCTGAAAACCTGGTTTTTCGAAAGAAAGTTTCTTAACGCTGAGAGCATATCAGGTATGTTCATCAGAACCTATTTTGGAAACGAGTTATTCCTTTTTTGCAAAAGATTTCAAACTTTAATTTGATGAATTTACAGATGACAAGACTCGGGGCATAACGCGGAAGTGTAGATGAAAGTCAAGGGTTGTCTAGAATTATTTTGAGTGACGAGTTGGGTTTCCTTTTCCTCTTCTTGTGTATTAATTACTGGAAAAAGCAAAGTTTTCAGAAAGTTTCAACCTGCATTCGGCAAGAATTATCCATGCAGATAATTTAATGAGACCAATTAAAAATGTTCTTCTTAATTAGGCTGTTTTTTTCTCGAAGAATACTTTTAAAAAAAGACTTCTGGAAATTGATCCTTTGAGCGAGGCTTTTGCTTACATAATTAAAATCCACACATTTTGGTAAGAATTATGGAAATACCACTTTATATTATAATCAGGAAATTTTGATTCAATTTTTAATTTTTCAAATATTGAAGATTATTTGTTATAGCGGCATTTCAGGACTCGCTGTCATAATTTTTCGAAAAGATTCCATTCTGTTAATTAAATTTCTGCTTTATCCATCTGTATTTTTTGGAATATATCTGATTTAAGAATATATTTCATTGGCTTGAACACCGGAGGTTGAGGAAACATTCAAAACTTTTCCTGGAGAGAATGATTTTTATTCGACAAAAAATTTTCATCATAATCTTTTTTGTGGATTTCTCAACGAAAAAAATGTATCTCACCGTTTTTCAAGGGAAAATCTCTTATTGTCTTATGGTGCATATTATAAGTATTTTGTTGAATCAATCTGATGTTCTTAAATAGTTTTCATTGAAGGACTTCGTTTTAAAATCGGGAGCTTCCGAGGAAATATTCACAATTTTCAGAAGCCGGAAAAATTCTTGAGATCTTCTCCAAAATCGAGTCCAATTATCCCAGTGAATAAATGTCAGAAACCGGGAAAATTCTCAAGATTTTCTTCGAAATCAAGTCCAATTATCCAAGTGAATAAATGATTGTTTTTCTTGGTATTCAATCTATTCTTCACCATGCACTTTTTTTTTATTTCACTCATGAAGATGGCGTGAATTTTCCAGAGAACCGTATTGTAAACCTGAGCGTCACTTTGGGATTTTTATAAGGCATAGGTGTTTTACCTCGCCAAGTCTTTTTAGTACCCGGCTAGAAGCTGCAGCAGCTGTAGTAGTAGTAGTAGCTGCAGCTGCAGAGTAGCGATCAATAGTTCGTCATCAGGGGCTTCTTCAAGCAGTCACCAGAAACCAGGGTCTTCTGCAGCTGCTGTCGGAAGTTACCAGAGCTCGAACCGGAACTACCCCGAGGCGGAAAAATTCCAGCAGATCCCCGGGTTGGACTTGGGCAGTGGGAAAATGACAGTGTCCAAGTCTGGGAGATGGAAGAAAAAGGAGAGACGACGTCTGGGGATTTGGGAAGAAGAGCAACAGCAGACGAACCCAACATCGGGGGTTGCATTGGACAGGAATGCTACTGGCCATGCTGGTGCTGATTCTTCCCAACAGGTGAATGAAAAATTCAATGACCTATATTTTGACACATGAAATTTCAATTTGAAACAATTGAATGAGTAAAAATCGCATTATGGCATCACCTTGACACATGATGAACACTATATCAATAGATACATATGCTTTATTTGCCACTTCTCNGAAGAAAAAGGAGAGACGACGTCTGGGGATTTGGGAAGAAGAGCAACAGCAGACGAACCCAACATCGGGGGTTGCATTGGACAGGAATGCTACTGGCCATGCTGGTGCTGATTCTTCCCAACAGGTGAATGAAAAATTCAATGACCTATATTTTGACACATGAAATTTCAATTTGAAACAATTGAATGAGTAAAAATCGCATTATGGCATCACCTTGACACATGATGAACACTATATCAATAGATACATATGCTTTATTTGCCACTTCTCAGCATTCACAAGGTTCAGAAAATTTTGCCAACACAACAGTTCAGACAAATGCATTAATTCTTGGAATGGCACTGATCTTTGAGAAAACTGCATGGTATAGTTATACTTGGCAATTAGTGAGCAAAATTTAAAGCACAAGGCATTCAGCCTGCTCCCCAATAATCATCAATTTATTGAACAATTTAGAAAGGATGTTTGAGGAGGAACAATTTTTTACAATGATGAGACTCCATTAACATGGTTGAGGTACTGGATGAATGTGAGCAATTTATTTGCTCAAAGAATAGAAACACGATGCTGTAAGCTTTGCTGTAATGAGATTCTGCTGCAAATACTGTACATTATATTCTGAACAGCATGAGAAAGAAAGATTTTAAAAGTTTGTCTCCACCTGAACTATTTGCTATCTACAACTCAATCCAGGCTGGAAACAGTATACAATACTTTTGTCTACATCAAAATTTTCTGCCTGACAAATTGTTTTTTCCCCATGAAATTCTCTCTCCATGATAACTGGGCTTTCTATGAAACAAAATTCACTCTACGATTATTATTTTATGTTCCCTTGGATTTTGTTCTAAAGAGAGTCCACCTCCGCATTGATTGTGATCCCAAGCTTCTGATTCAAAATCTTCTAAAATATGCAAGGATCAGCGAATGCATTCAGAAACAGCCTATTTGTATACAGTCAACCCCTGTCTAAAAGACTTGATTTGTGCAAGGGACGAGTCTGTTAGACAAAAAGTCCTTTACACAAATTCAATTACATAAAAAATTAAAAATTTATAAGGGAAGTAGGGTTACAACTTATGACGGCCCTATGTTACAACATCCATCCTGGAATGATGACGTAAGATGGGGGCCCACTGTACTTGCGAATGAAAGATGAAATCAATTTTTACAGTACACAGGAGGAAATACTGCTTGCAGAGCTGGTCTGTTTGGCAAAAATCCCTTACACAGGAGGTCTGTTAGGCAGGGGGCCACTGTATTTTTTCAAGTGATGCACTAATTTCATATAAGAAGCAACTGGAAGATTCCACATCAGTACAGTAAAAAGATCAATGCTTATGAGCTCAGGAATGTTTTCCATTGTATACAGTAAGAAGATTTTCACATCCGGGAGCTTGTCACAAGGAATATTTTTCAATAATTTGGAATATCTGGTAGCAGTTCTGCCCCCTCCCCCATTTTAAAAACATGCAACTGTGAGTCAAGGGATATGTAAAAGTTCAACTAATTGAAGGTTCAAAGGTAATTACCTGAAAGACAGCATTTTTTTAAATTCTGAAGATACACGTATTATAGAGAATAAAATGTTAATAAAATTGAATTCCCCTCTGTTTCAATGTATTACGCATGCCACAACTCTCTTTGGAATGAGATAAGAATTATAAATCTCTCACTTTGTTGAAATATGTATTCTTTATCAGGAAGTACTGTTTAGAGTTAGACTGTTTAATGGTTATGTCTGCTGGGTTCAGTTATTCTCTCATTCATTCTCAAAGCAAATTATTCTGTCAGTTGGAAGCATATCTGACTTCAACAATTTGTGTCTGTATGAATTGCAGAAGCAATTGAAGCTTGAAGATTATGTTTTTCCATTGTCAATTCCTCAGGTCCATTCACTATTCTATATGCAATCAGACCATAAATCCTCATTGTTTCACTTGAATTGTAAAATATTATGATTCCTGCTTGGCTCTTCCATAATGCTGAATATTTGCTGATATGAATAGTTCACATTGTTTGCTTTAGGATTTCACATCCATACTCTAGGAAAAACCTGCCATACTGAGCCATGAAAATGCATCCATGAAGTTGAAAACACGGTAGCCCACAATACATCCCACCACATCAAAAGAGATGTATTCTTTGGGAAATAGATTAAGAATTTATTTCCAAGACATTTCTTTGCCATTTCCTGATCCAGCATAAATCACCACAGCTAATGAATCACTGTATGCAGATAAGAAAAATGTCAATCTTTATCTTTCATAAAATGAAGTGGGTGGAGAGAATGATGGCTTGAAAGTGCAAATGATCCAAATATAGTGGGTTGCTGTTTGATTGTTGCTGTTTTTCTATTTGGAGTTCAACATTGCTCAAAATTTTTAGAAAATAGCCAATTTATTCAGCAGCCAAACATTCTTTTTTCAAAAATTGAGTGGTCTTAACTTGGATTTCATACACCAAGCAGATGTTGACTATGAAATTGTATTTGGTGGTATTGTATCATACTTTTAGAAGTAAAGACTGCTTACACTTTCATTCCACCTTTTGTTGATTCCTTCATCATAACTAAGACTGCTTCACCTGGTAGTACTGATTTACAGCTGTCATATAAAAGGCACAAATACCGCAATTTTGATGAAAATGTTACATGAATTCAGCTTGTGACACTTTTTCAAGATTTGTTTCGGGACACAGATTCCAGTGTTGGCCGTAAAGCCAGCACCTAAAAGTTGATAAAGCTAGATTGAAAAAGGGATAAAACAACTTGAATCATGCATTTCTCTTGGAAATATCAATTAAAAGCTAGACAGAAATGCGGAAGATAATAATTTCTTTTGTCAAAACAAAATCCATATATTGAAAGTAACATGGATGAATTGACAAAATTAAGTCACACATACACACACAAACTAGTTTTGTGCACCTAACACAGTATTGCAACAATGAATCTTGTCAGAAAATTGAAACATTGAGATGTCTGCCCATACAATAGCCTTTTTGTTCAAGGATCGCCTGGTTAGTTTGGTAGTAGCTTATTTATTTTACCAATACTAGTACTGCATTTTTATGGGCCACAATCCAGGAAAAGAATTTCGGTTTTTGATCATGGTGATTCATAATTTCACAAAATGTGTTGTCACGTGTTGCTTCCATTATAGGACATCGAAATTCAGCATATAACAAATCTGCGGGTTTCTAAGTTGTGAATAACAATTATTCTTTGCTAAGTTTCCGAAAGCTAAATAAAACTGAGGAATCCTTTTCTATTTCTTAGAGATTCAGGATGATTTTTTACCGAGTGCCGAATTTTCTAGGTTCAATTAATGCAATTTTGAAAAGTTTTCATCACACATTTGAAAATTGTGAATTCAACGTGATGGATTAAAAAACTGTCGAGTAAAGGCCGCCATCTTCTTGAGTTATAGAGTATCATACATTTGGTCTGGCCTCTTACCTTGTATAGAAATGAAAGCATTGACAGAGGTGCTATAGTTGAGATGAAAAGCCAGCCCATCTCAATAAAAAATACTGTATAACTTTTTCTCAACTCAAAGAAGCCACCAGATTTTCACAAAATTGTCTAAATTCGGCTCTGACTGGTCTTCTTCTTTTTTTCCTGCGTGAATAAAATAGCAGGACCAAGGGTATCTGACTCATCACCAGCAAGGGAATTTGATATTCAAAGAACTGGGCAGACGCAAGGCCCCACATCCACCATCATCCTTTGCAACCCGAATTTATCGCGAAGAGGAACAACGAAGGAGTCTTGAAGTTCAACAACAACAACATCATCATCACCAGCAACAACGTCTTCCAGATGTTGTTCGACCTGCAGCAGCCATGCAACACACTCATCATAATCCAGATTACCCAGCAATGGATGATGCTGATATTGCAGGATTCATGGACGAATTCGATGCCACGCTGCAAGTGTACGAAAATGAATCAGGAAGTAATAATGAAACCCATGGGAACCCAACTGAACCCATCAGTGGGAACAGAAGCAGGGATTATTCAAGAACTGCTGCTGCTGCTGGTGACCAGCAAATTAGCAGGGATACACCCATCAGCAACACCCCAAAGCCAAAACCCAGGCCGCAACCCCGCAGAACCTGAGCATTGAATGCATTCCCTGGCTATAATAAATGCATTATAGTTATACTTATTGTTGAATTAAAAAAAGTGATTTGTCTTGAAAGTAGGACTGGGTTCTTATAAATAGCTACGTTTTCTGCAATTTTCAAATTTCTTTGAAAAAAAAGAAGCTCAGTCATACACTCACACTTGAAGCCTGTTATGATTATGCTCTTATATTGCAACACTGCTTAAAGCTAATACAGTCAACCACCACACAACAGACTTAATTTGGGAAATAGACCAGTTTGTTGTGTGAAAAGTCTTCTATGTAAATTCAATTATTGAAAAATTGAATTTTTACTTTTTAAAATCATCTTTAAACCAACATAAGTCTGATATGCAGATTTATAGTCTGTTGTGCAGGAGGGAAAACTGAATCCAGAGCCATTCTATTTTGCAAAAATCTGTTGTGCAAGAGGTCCATTACTGTGCTGGGGTCAACTGTGTACAGTATATATGCTTACAATATTACAAATATTAAAAACAGACGGAGAAAATAAAGCATACTCTATATTCCAGGGTTAAAAAATCCCTTTGAAATCAGGACTGAAATCCTCATTGAACCCCTTCAAGTCATATAGAATGCATTTCAAATAACTTATGTATTACAGTTCGTATAGGTGGTACCTTGCAATTGAACAACCGTGCAATATGTCCATCCCACAATTTGCCGGCCAAATTTGCTGGGAGGTCAACTTGCAATTCAATCTCTGCCCCTCAGTTTGACACACATAGAGGCACAGAACATCATATGTGATGTAGAAAACATTGCATTTGACATTGTCTTGCTATTTGACTGCTTCACATTTTGATCCTTGTCCAGCAAAATGAATATACGTGTACTTTATTAATATATTCATATATTTATAATATTAATATATCAATAACAGTGCAGTAATATAAATATACATGTGGTAATATTAATTACCACCTGCTTACAATTCCTTGATTTTTCAGATCATCCTGAATGATTTTACCATAAAATTAAGGAATGGAGGCTTTATCCCAGAATTTTTATTCTGCATTATGTGCATGTTCAAGCAAATCCTGTAGCTGACTGTCTCTATGTCATGATTGTGCTGTAATAATGAAACAGTNCTAGGAGTATAGTTCATAAATCGGAGGGAGGTTTTTATACGGAAACCTGCTGTTGGCAAATTTAATTAGTAAACGCTGATAAACTTAAAGGGTAAGCACTACACATCATATAAAGAAACCAATAGAGATTAAATATCTTTGAATACATAAGTAGCTCATGCTTGATCATATCATCATCACCGGTTCTGTTGAATTGTTCTCTAGCCAATTTATTCTAGCTGTGAGAAGAGTTTGCTGAGTCATTTACTCAACAATTTGTTTGAAATACATTTTAATTCATTAACTTAGGAATTCCTACAAGGAATTTCCAGTCCTATCCCAGACTGCAGGATTGTTGTGTTATTGCAACACATACTTAACATAAACTTATAATGAGGTGACAAACTGTCCCCAATAATTAAGCAAGCATATTGTCATAAAAAAGACAGTCAAGTACTTGTCAATGTGCTTGAACATGCACAAAATTGCAGCAAAAGTTCTGATTGTCTTCTCAACAATGAAAATACTCTTTTCAAAATCTTAGCAACCTAGATAATCTATATTATAACCTTATATTATTTATCATCAAAAATTCTCTCAAAATTGTTTAATCAACTAAACCTTCTCTGGAAGCAGGCTGAACACCTTGTGCTTTAATTTGGGTTTAGTAATTGCCTTTTACTGCACTTCTTATTATTAATATTTTGCTTTTGTTATCAAGGGAGGGAAGAGAGTGTATAAATTTACATCAGTGTGCAATTGTACATTTTGGGATGTACGGGTATTTTCTTTTTGATGATATCCATAACTAGCTTGTTTCTCTGTTTTCCATTATGATGCAATGGAATGTGTTTGGTTGAATCAAGGGGGGAATGTTACTTGAACCTTGTGAATGCTGAAAAGCTGAAAATAAAGCTTGCTATTCAATTCAATTCTTCTTGAAAGTTTAGCAATTTTTTTCAGTTCTGTTAGGATTGGCTGATGTTTGAGTTGCAGCTGTTGTTTTTTTCAGCAGTTTTTCAAGTCAATGCCAAGTAATTTTTAGTAACATTTTTCTAAAGTTGATTCCATATGCCCCCAGAATTCACCTTCTCATGCATTTTTTTTGCCAAAAATCGACTCAACCCAATCCACTCATCCTCAATCTGAGCAGGATAAGTTTGGAACAATGTTCCAATTAATGTTCAAACCGCATTTTGGCGGGGAATAATGAACGTGATTATAGAGAAGGTGTACGAATTCGGTGCCTGATTTTCTGTGCAAAGTCATCTGCAGGCGACATTCAATCATCCAAGGATATACGTTCTCTGGAATACGATCAACGGCTTTATTCCTATCCTTTCCTATATACGTCATCAGCCGCCTTTCGAAGGATTTCTGTGTGGGGCGGCTTTTGGATGATAAGAACCCAACTGCTGATGCGGGCTTATACTGATTAGGCCCTTCCGAAAATGTGGGGAATGACACGTGCTTCCACGGTGATTGGCACAATAATATCCCAGAAAACAATTGCATGAAATTCAGAGGGTTCATTTTCATAATGGATTCACATAATTCAGTAGGACCCCGACATGCGGACAGCAGGATTTGGAACCAATAAATATGAAACCAAAAATTCCCCCGACATCCGGACAATGATGCTTAGCCAACAGAACATCCAGAAGAAATGGGGGACCATTATTTTTTTAATATACTGCTTCTGGAGCAAATCAAGCTATTTCTCTTCACAAAAATTGGAAATTTAATAATAAAAATGCTTAAATTCATAATCAAAGATAGGCTAATTTTGTGATATTTTTTTCAGTTTCTTTTCCATAAAATTTTTGCCAAATATACAGGTGGTCCTTCACCATTTGACAGTCAAATTTGCTGAGAGGTTGACTTGCAATTTCACCTATTGAGAGGCACAAGTTGTCCAATTTGATGATGCTGAAAACATCAAATATGACATTGTCTCACAATTTGACCACATTGAAATTTGACCCTAGCCTGGCAATGGATTAGGGTTGAATTTCAGGGTACCATGTGTAACTTCTTGTTCTTTGCTATCTGAGCTCTTTCTGCTGCCAAAAGATCTTTTTCTGCATGATTTTATTCTGCAAAGTTATTTCCTGTATACTCACAGGTGGTACCTTCCAATTCAACGTTTTGCAATTTGACCATCCTGCAATTCTACTGTTTAATTTGCTGGGAGGTTGACTTGCAATTTAAGCTTTGCCTTGCAATTTGACCTCCTTGAACCATTTTCTGGTTTTTTTTTCTTTTTGCTGCTGCTTCTTAATTTTACAGTGTCTCTTGAAATTTGACCCCTTTATAATTTGACATGAGTCTGGCAACAGATTAGGGTCAATTTGTGGGGTACCACTTATATTGAGGTTGATGAAAATTTGTATTCAATTTTTCGGGCCCCCTATTCCAAGTTTTTGATGAACTTCAGAACCAGCAATCGAATATGTCCCCGTAGAAGTCTCTTCAGTGTATATCTATTTACTGTTATGTATTATCAAGTGTGCAGTATATTTATTGTTTTATTCCAGCAAAGATTTCTTGGAAACCATGCAATTTTTTGTATGTGTACAAAGCAGCAGATGCCACAAATTTATGTCCTTAGCAACATGCATTATTCGGAATAAACCCTCATTTTCTTGCTTTTTTATAAATCTTGTACACTGTCCTGATGCCATTTGAGGATGAACGAATATGTTTATGCCTTTGGAGACTGTCTTTTTTGAAATGGGTACCTTCTTATCTACACAGAAAAATTTTGAGAGAGCAAAAAAAAAAAGTTTTTTGGACGCTGGTTTGTTTTTTTAACTTTCCGTCGAACTTTTTTTTTATCGATGAATGATCCATGCTGGAAGAAAATAACTAAGATGATGAAGAAAATAACTAAGACGACGTCAAAAATGAATAAGCCATAAGATCAAATATTTTTTCTTTTCTTTTCTTTCTTCCTTCTGTGCACCGTTTTTGATTTCCTCGTCGAATCAGCACACTTAAGTCCAGTCCAAAACCGAGGTTTCTTTCTTCTTCCATATGATGTTCCGACCCACGAACGAATATAGTCAACGGTGTTTTTCTCCCCCGATTTCTGCCTCCGTTCAAATATTTTCGTTTTAATTTGTCTTTTTCCCGAAACACAGTATATTCCGCGCGAAACAGCAAATTGTGACAGGAAATGACATTGACGACGCCTTAAATCAGCACCATTCTCATCCTAATCATGGGAGAAAAGATTTCCAACACCAATAATCCACGATTTTAAGCCAACGTTTTGAAGCGATCAGAAAAAAAGACGCCGTAAAGAATTCCTCGAGTTTTATGAGGGAGAAATAAAAATAAATATTTCGACAGGGACAGTTTTTTTTTAATGAAGCAATAAAAGTGACAATGCTTGAAATTGGCACAAGGGACGACGTTTTTTGCTTCTGCGAAAATTTGTACGAATTTTAGCCAACATATGTTGCTTCAATGCATGATTTAATTGTCTAACATTTCTTTACTGCTTTTGACTATATTTTGAAGCGAACACCAAAGTTCCACACCGAGATTCTGAATTACTCTTTTCTTTTTTGAAAATGTTCTTTTTTGGATTTCCGGATATATTTTTTTCTGCATTTCTTCTTTTGTTGCATGACGGATTTATTCTTCTTTGGAGGAAGTTATTACGGCTGTGACTGGGCTGACTGTGGCCGAGAACGAGGTGTCGGGGTCGTCATCATTGACGTTGTTGCCATCGTCGTCGTTGTCGTCGTCGTTGATGCTGAGTAGTTGGTTGGTGAGGTCATTCTCAGTATTAAGGATGTCGTCGTCAGGGATGGAAATTGCGTTACGTTTGCCGAAACGGAGTCTCGTAGCGAGTCTTTTGTAGACGTCGGAAGGAGCAGCGAAAAACACTGGGTCCGGGCCTCGTTTGCCGAATCGCAGACGCACGGATTTAGTTCCTTCGGATCCGTCGAAAGCCGAGGACTTTTTGCCGAACCGCAGTCTGCTGGAGGATTTCTTCCATCGACCTTGTTC